GGGGAGTATGTTCTATCCTTTCGTCTAATTTAATCTGCCCCGGGTTTTGGACATTTGTTCAATGACCGTGCTCAGTTACCCTCGAAGTTTACTACGCTGTTGCGCCCTCCGCCCTGGTCCGTGCAACGATGCGGACGCCGCCGCTAAGGCGCCAACGACTTGTGTCTTCTGCATGGTTATCAACACAGGTTGGGAGACGATATCTTATCACGTGGCGACGAGTGGTGGATTCGTGAACTACAGCGCTAGTTGTACTTAGCGATATATTTACACATAGAACATACAATTTTATGCATTTTTTTATCTTTTTCCGATATATAATTCTACATTTTTCCAAAGTGGAAAGTATTTTTGTAAAGTGTTATATCGTTCAATCGTTGTGTGTTCTTAGAATTTTAGTATAATTTAACTTGCTGTGTCAAACAGTGCCGGAGCAAGCGCCAGAATGAACGGGACACGTGTCCTGCGATTTTGGGGCCTCGTTATTTATAGTACTCCCACCTTAATGGTCTTAGTATTACCTAACATATACTAATAACATATTACCCAAAATACCCAAGTACCATAATAATTTTAAGTTGATTTTATCTGATTATTTTTGTTAGATACGTTGAAAATTTAATGTTTGTTAATTAAATTTTTCAGTGTTATTATTGAAGTACCCCTACGAGCACCCAACATCACAACACTTGACCATATTATTTAATTAATAGTCATAGAATAATCAAATAATTATAAAAAAATAGTAAACCGCACTATTTATGTACGAATCACGATAACACAAGTACTGAACTACTGAAGTACACTCAACACAATATATATTAGGTACATAGGTGTAGCATAGTAATATTTTGCAATACATCAATTACCACAAGTATTATTATAATATGATAATTGATAATGATGTATAAACAATTAAAACCCAAACCCAGTTGACCAAAAAATATGAAATAGTACATAATATTATATTGTATGCCCTACGACCTTTACGTGTAAATGTATAGCCATATACACCTAGCGCTGTAGTTCATGAATCCACCGCTCGTGTTCAAAAAGTTATACAGTAGAGCACAGCGCTAGCCTGCCGAGTCGTAACCTGTGTATTTACTATTTACTAGATAGTCGTGTCTTTTGTTTCGTTGTCCTTTAAACAAATGTTCGTGTATGTTCTTGTAACATTCGCTTTATTGGTATACACCATTTTCTGATATTTGCTCTATTACCGCTCAAGTAACAGATTTTATTGTAGGTACGTACCTACCATACGTTCGTATTCAGCTCCCAATCAGTGACGCATTTACGTGTGCGTTTCTGTAATCGCGTGTGCAACGGTACGGTGTTCCCCATCACCACGTGGTTTGGTTTTAGTAGTTCAGTTAAGCGGAAAGCTGATCAACTTCACTGCTACGATTTTCAAGGTGCAGTTTCCTCAGAACGGTGTTCCCGGGTCTCCCCTTGTCCTATATGCATATACACATGTCTATGTGTATTGCTTTATAATATTATATGATTAAAATTTATAATACATGATGCAAATATTATTTCTTTGTTGTATTTATTGCTACGATACAAGCTCCGAAAGACCGTGTGTTCGACTACAACTTTGGTAAGAAGCTTGTCAATGAAACATATACATTCATAAATTTTTGTGTAATCAAAACTATTAAAAAATAAGGTTTGTTAAATTCAAATGTACATAAGGTATATTTATTAATTTTTAATTAATTATTTATTAATATTTAATATTATATATAAGAATAATTTTGATGTAACGTTTTATATAAGTTTATGTGATGACTAATGGACATAAAAGACTAAGAGTTTAAGATGTAATATATTTGGCAAATATTTAGTATTGTACCTATATTTTGCATTATTTTTAACAATGGTGACAATATTGTATAATGCATATAGTTTATATATATATATATTTATTTATAATGTTTATGATGTTAATGTATAGTATAAATAGTGAATTGTTAAGGACATTTAACAATAAAATTAGGAACTACATAAATAAATCTAATAAAATCAGAATCCTTCTGTATTTTTAATCACTATTAAAATTTATTAAGATATTAAATCATTAAAAGTTTTAGGTAACTAACTATAACAATTCTTTAAATTTCACAATATTAAACCATAGCCTGAATAGTGTGTAATAGCAAATAGTTGCCATGTTGGTATATCATTTTAAAATAAAATATTATTGAAAATATTTTTACAACAGTCTAGTTTTATTAAAATTGCTTTGTGTACGAAAAGAGTTATATAAATTGTATTTAGGTGTTGTAAAAATTACTCACATATCCATGAAGATTTTTGGTCTCATATCTCACAAATGTTTTACTATAGGGACATAAAAATTAGTATTAATTATGTATTCTGATGTAAATTATAATTTATAACTATTAACTAAAAGGCGTAGTTTAGTTATTTTTCAAAAATAATTTTTTTAAATGAATCTATACATTTTGTAGTTTTTTATATCATTATTTATAACAAATATTTATCTTAAATTGTATTTACAGCTTTGTAAGTACTATGAGTATTATTTTACGATACTACATGGTACAAAATTGAAATGTACTTATATGCGTGTTGTAAATGATTCAGGAACATTTGTTGTATTAAATCACTCATGTGGCTTGTTGAAATTGTTTCAACATAAAATGAATATTTTTAGTTTGATTACAAATTTGTTCTTAAGTTTAACTTACAGTCTTTATAGATTAATAAAATGATTTCAATTTTATTTACAGGAGATATTGAATAATTTGCAGTTATACAGTTTTTCCACATGAGAATTGAAAACTATAGAAATTAAACAAGATAATATTATTTATATATAGATAATATCTAATTTATTTACAGTTTTAAAAAAATCTTACAACCAAGAATTATCTCTGATCATAATATAATATAATAAGAATTATTTTGATTATTTTTTAAATTATTTATTTACATAGATCATACTTACTTATACTTATTAAAAACAATAAATTTAAACTATAAGTTATTAAAATATGTATATTATTGTTCTAAAATACATAATTTAATTTTTCGATATTTGTAGTAATATTTAGAGCAATTTTGTTTGTAATTGGCTAGTTTGAATTTCGGAAATATGTTTATCAATCATTTACAGGTGAAGTCCAGCCTTAAATAATCAACTACATACTATTATATTGTAAGGGATGAAAATATATGATTTATTATTCAGTAATATAATATTTTTTTTGAATGCCACAGGCATAAATAATAATTATGCATCATTGCAACAAAAAGTAATTTTTAAAATGGAAGATAATGTATTTTTCATTATGTGCTTCATAAAATTTATTTAATTTTATACTCTTTATTTTATATAATATAATAAAATATAATATGCATGATTTATAGATTAATTAATGTATAGTTTAACTACTAAACATAGTAATTAACATATTTTTTTATTATAGATGAAACAGACATTCATTCATTATACCGTTTCTTTTGTCCAAATGAATGCGGATGCTCGTACAAGAGAAAAAATGGACTTAGCCAACATTTAAATTATGAATGTGGTATTGAACCAAAATTTAAATGTTTTCTATGCGAAAAAAAATATGCCCGCAAATCTACTATGAAAATACACATGATACAAGTTCATAAAATAATAATATAAAATAATATGCAATGGTGATTATTATTTTTTTTTTTAGTAAAAATAAAATAAAATTTTAATACCTAACCTACGTATAGGTACTTATACCTATAGCATTATTAATATTAATACAAACTCAATAAAATAAAATATATTTAAACTATTCATTTAATATGAGACTTTTTACAATTATTATTTATTTAAATAAATAACAAAATCAAGCCAGAAAATTAGGATCTAGAGTGAGTGGTTCAGAAGCCTGATTTTTAGGTTTGAGTTCCTATGGATAAAAAAAAAAAACATGTGCAGTCTAATAACATAGCAAGAAGATGTATTTGTATCTCCTAAGCTTTACAAAAAAAAAAATAAAAAAATATTTAAAAAGAAACAGAATGGTATTGAAAATATTCTTACATAATTATCAAAAACTACTTACTTTTTAAATTTATAAGTTAAAAATAGCAATACTGGCTTATAAGCCTTTTTCAATGACAAGTAACAACTGGAAAGCTTGGTGTTATGAAAAAATATACTCTCATTTGTTATTTCTGTGTTGCTATCACATCCTATATGGTAAAATTAACATTCAAAATAACCCATTTTACTCGCATTATTGTTAATATTTAAGTGAGTAGCGCTCTATCTAATAAAAAGATAATAATATGATCTGGGGTGTCACTTAGGGTTTCTTTTTGATATTTTCATTTTTGTAAATTTGATCGCTCTCCTTAATACACCACTACATCTCATTATAAATATGGTATTATTATTATCATCATTTTTATACATACAGTTGACTAATGTTTATAACCGATATATTTCCATCATATTATTCTTTTAAAAATTTATAACAATATCATTTAAAAGTTAAGAGAATAGCCAATTTTTGGAACTCGTAATATAATAATATAACATATTTTAGAGAGCTGTGCAAAGATTAGAGGATTGACTTACTCCGCAACTCTACCCAATAACCACTAAGTAGTTACATTAATGTTTACGACAGTTATTCATAATTTCCAAAACTTCGTTAACACTAACCGGTGTAAAAATAAAATACTAAAGGTCAAGGATCTTGGCACCATGTTATTGAATTTTTCTCTTAATAATTTAGTACTGATGTTCCAAATGGCCAATAAAATCCAAAATTCACTTTTTGGCATTAAAGATATAAAATTAGTAATAAATTATTACAAAATACCAATACACTATTATTTATTACCACAAAATAACTAAAAAATAAATATTACGTTTGGGCTTTGGCTTTATTTTTTTTACCCACGTGCTCTATATCAAATAATATTATCACAGAACAGTAATAATAACAATAAATCATTTTATTATCATAATAATATTATCTACTTACTATCTAGATTGATAGTGTAGTAGTAGTTCGTACCGTTCCGCGTTCGTAGTTACTAGTTTACTTTTTTACTTTTATCTAGTTTCTCCACTCAGTATATTCTGTATTATTATATTCTTTGTTATTTTAAATACTTTCTTTCCATCTTATAAATTGTTGATTTTTGAATAAACGTGAATGATATTATCTACTTAAAAGTTAAATCATGCTATACATGTACACTTACTCCTGAATGTTGATTTAAAAATCCAAGTCAACTGTTAAGCAACGTTTCATTTTATATCTAAATATTTTTTTCTTTTGAAGTATCATAATTATTTGAATAATTAAAGCGTTTAATTCACAATAACACATCTAAGTCAAATTATTAATGAGGACTTCTTTTTACATATTTAATATTATATTTTGAATTGTGGTGTGTTATAAACTATTGCAATAGATTTTCAGATATTTAAAAAGTAATATTATTGGTTTGTTGATTCATTATAATAATACTATGATATACCTACATTTTATTTACAATTGTAACAGATAATATAATACATTTATAATATTTCTTCAGTATTATACTTGAAAAATATCAACATAATAGCGTATAAATTATCATTCCTTGTGAATTGTTTATAGTTAAAGGTAATACTATTACATTAACAATGTCATGTGTAACTAATAAGATTTAAAAAGTAAAAAATCATAAACTTGCATAATAAATTTTTAGTATCAAAGCTCAGCATAGTACCCATACTTTTTCATGCTTATTTATTTTTTGTATATTGAAAATTTTTTATGTTTTTATTTTTCCTGTGAGATTGCTATATTTTCTAATATTTTGTATAATACAAAATATAACTATGATGATGTTAATTTACATTCATAAAAAATCTTAAAAAAATGTATATATTGAAGGTCTTAGATCTGGCAAATCCAGAGTTATTAAATTCAAAAAATTTAATGAGGAATATTAAAGTATAAAAATATCGGTACCTAAATATTTATTATAAAGATTGGAGACTCCATTCTTTTGCACCCATTCCCCACAGCTATCATTAATTTATGCATTGTCTTGAATTGTTTTAGGTAAACACTAATACATGTCATAGAATCAATTAAATTAGTCAATGAAAATAAAAATCTTAAGTAAATGATTTTATATATTATATACAGATATAAATGCAACCTATTAATGACACAATAGAATTTAACTAGATAAAGCAGCTACATATTAATTTATCTAGTTTAGAAAATCATGGTACAGCATCCAATTCTATAAATTAAAGGAATGTGAATCATCAAATGTATTGTAAGAACATGATTTGTATTATTTCAAGTGAAGAACAAGGTACCAAGAAAAAGGGATCCATAATCATAATTTATTCAGACCTTGTTTGTCAGAGCTCCAGCAAGCACCTTCATGTCACTTTATTTTATTAAATTTGAGCACTTGAATAAAAAATGTTCTCAATATACATATATTTGTTGTACTAGATGTAAATAATGCAACTTTTTATCAAAATTAACTTCTTTGTTCTGCATAATGCCATTATTTAACTATATAAACTATATAAGTATTAAATAATATTATAAAACTTTGATAGGAACAAACTAAATCGTAACAGTGACTACGCCTGCAAATAAAAATAAAAAAATAAAATTTTATATTGTTACATTATTATAATATTACATTAATTAATTAATTTATATACCTACTTGTTAAATATAAATTTACTTATTAAATATAAGCTAACATCACATTATTATACTTAAAGTAATGTTTAGTAGTTATATATATATATATTGTTTTATTCAAATAATTAATGATTTTTATTTCTAGATAATACTTCACTTTTTTATCATACAATAGTATACAAAACTTCATGATATTGTTTAGATTTGACTTAAGAATAAAATTATAAACATGATAATCTTATTGAATTATCTATTAAAAATGCTTTTTGATTGCTTATAATTTATTACTACAATCAACTGAGTATATTATACAATGTTAAAATTATTATTTTATTATTAATATTTTATATTTATATTTCAGTAGGTCGATATAATAATAACAGTGCCAAACAGAAATATTTTGGTGAAGATGCATTTAAGTGTACTCAATGTGGCCGTACATATCGTCGAAAGAAAAATGTAATAAGCCATATGAAATATGAATGTAATAAAGATCCACAGTTTATTTGTACAATTTGTGGTAAAGCAACTTATTACCGCTCTAATTTTAAAAAACATATGGCTGTAACACATCGATTCTTCATGACATAAATGAAATGATAATATTAAAATTATGATCTAAAATTATAATTTTTTTACATTTGTTTCATTAATAAAAGTGTTAACATTTACACATATTTAATAATAGTTCTATTGATAAATATACTTTAATTACAATATTTATACATGATACTTAAATTCTAAATAATTTATATGTATACAATATTAATTTAAAAATTTATACATATCATATATATATATATTTATTTTTCAGAAAAAGAGTTTTAATTATTTAAGAAATTTGTATGTATTTTTCTAATAATTTATTACTATATCATAGTTATTCAATTTCAAGATAACTGTTATTAATTAAAAAAAAAAATTGTATATTCAATATTTTTAAATACAGAATTAAAAATTTCCAATGCTTGTAATTTAAATATATTATGTACTAAATACTTTTTGAAATTTTTAATTTTGGTTTCTGTTGGAATATATAATTTAAAACACAAGACTTGTGTTTACTTAGTAATGTATGTTGTGTATTGCTTTTGGTATGTGCTTGATTAAACATACTTTATAACCACAATATTTATCTTATTTTGTTTGTACCTTATATTTTTATCACAGTAAAACTGTAGAGATCAATAGTAGAGATCAAACTATTATGCAAGTGGATTTATATATTAATGTACAAATTTAATTATTATTTTTTTAATTTATTTTATGTTGTCTAAATTATTTTCAACTAATTTTTCATTGTGTGTTTAGATATTTGGACTCAAAATAATGGAAAGGTATATAACTGCCCAAACAAGAACTGTCACCGCAATTATAAAACTAAACCAGGTTTATACAACCATTTAAAATATGAATGTAATGTACCACCTAAATATCATTGCAATATATGTAACAAAAAATTTAAACAGCCAGGAAATTTTAAAATCCATATGAAATCACTTCATTTTGTAACATTAATTAAAATTTAAAAATTGAATAGATTTTTATTAAAAATTATACATCAAATCCATGTGATACTATATTTTGCTTAAGAGGATGTCGTATCCTTATGTGTTATCGTCTTACTAACTCATACCGTACCAAAATATATATTCAGCAGTTTCAATTTTGTGTGATTAGCATTAGGTAAGTTTAGAAAAATTTTAGAGTAAAATGACCTATTATAAAAACTTTAAGGTTAGAACATTATCTTTGTTTTCTTGTCGGTTTTTTACAGTATTATAATTTCTAAGTGAATTATGAGCATTTTTAAGTATTTATATTTAAATTGGATGTAACACTTAAAAATTAAAATACCTATAAAATTTACGAGAGAACACAGATAATTTTTTTTTCTTTAAGTTTGAAAATAAGTCATTTTATACTTAAGCTATAAACACACTAAATAAGAACTGCTGAACATATATTTTGGTTTGGCATGCATTAGTAAAACAGGTAAAACAATGCAGGTGTGACATCCTCGCACTGACATTTTTCCAGTCATTTGTGTACACATGACATAGGAAATTAACATTCAGCATACAAAATATAATTTTTTTAATTTTTAATATGATAGATAAATTGACATTTTTAGATTTAAAGTTAAGAATATTTTCTAAGATATATAATTTTATTTTTTATTTTTATGTAAATCTTAATGTATTATTCTTATTAAATTATTGTCTTATTAGAATAAAAATATTCAGAAAATCCAAGATAATTATCAGTTTTAAAATGTTATGGTTGTTAATATGTACCCTTAGATTAAAAATGTTAAAACAATTAATTATTATTCAGAGTATAAATTTCCTGTCTATGTGAGATAACAAATGAGTATATATCTTAATTTTGTATTGTATTGTGTGTTTATTACCATTATATTTTCTACATTGTAAATAATAACTATTTCATATTTGTTTTGTATGAATAAAATTATAATTATTAATTCTTTTATGTCAATATAATTTTAAATTTATACTTAAAATGATTAATTTGTTTTGCTTACCAAGAGTACTATATATTGTAATTAAATTTGATCTTATTAAAGTATTTAAGTTGTACAATTTAAAGTGATCAAATTTTAAAATAAATGTATTCTTACTTTACTATTTAGTAACAGTAGCTTTACTGTAATTAAAAAAAATATTTTATAAAATTCACTAAGTATTGTCTAACTGTTGTATGTTCTTAGTTTTTGAAATGTTTAATTATATAAGATCTATCTTGTTTAAATTTAAAACTGAATTACTTTTTTATATATTATCTGTATATTATTAGTCTGATTTAAGAAATATTAATAACTACTCATGCCAATGTAAGATTCTTCAAACTTATTTAGCTCCATATTTATTTTAAACTTACTTTTTTTTGTAAAGAAAGCAATTTTATTTAAAATTTTAAACTTAGAATAGTTTACAAATGTATGCTTTTTAAACTGTTTTTTCTTCATATTTGCACTTAATTAAATAATATAACAGTGCATGGTATACTCTTTGATTCTTTTTCACATAAACTTACTAACTATATATTTTTATTTTGCAGTCAAGCCATTATTATTCAACCCAAAATCTGGAAGAATGAATAAATATCCTGGTCCATCTTCGGATGGTCTTTTTTATTGTACAAATCAATGTGGTAAGAAGTATAAATCTAAACAAGCTATCAGTGTACATATGCGTTATGAATGCGGTGTGAAACCTAAGTTTTACTGTCAAGAATGTAACAAATATTTTAAACAGCCTGTCAGCTTCAAAGCACATCAAATGAATGTCCACAAGTACGTAGTTGAGTATACACAATTTAAATGTTCTATGTAATATTATACTTATAATAAGTTATAAATAATTTTAATTAGCTATTTTATTTATTTATCCTTGTTCAGAACTTCCGAAATGTGTATATGAAGTTCTAGAAGAAGAAAAAAAGTCTGATATAAAATATGTATGATGTTGATATTTTAATATTTTTTACTGTAGACAAACCCAATTTTAAGCTTATGAGAATGGAAAAGCTTTTTTATTGTTTAATATTGAACTTGAGTATTTGTTAAAAATGTTTAGTTTAAGCATTTGCAATAAATATTTTTTATTGAAGTAACATTACAATTATATAATTAGAAATCGCATTTACTATGTATACAGCAAAACTTATAAAATTCATCAATATCATACAATTTAATTTTCTATACATGTATACTTTTTAAGCAATTATATATATTAAATATTATTAATAACAATGTATAATTTAAATACATTTTTTCAATAAAACTGAAATATTTAAAAGTGTCAATAATATGTTTTAAAAATAATTTGTGCCATTTTATAAACGTTTTTAATTTTTATTCCTTATTTACTCATAAGATTTTATTTATGTATACTATTTTGGATGTTTTTTATTTATAAATTTATTTCTTAAGTATAGACACTTCAAATATTATATTTTAACGTTTAAACTGATCCAATATGTGTATTATACATACCTAATAAATACCAATTTTATTTATTTTATATTTATTTGTATAAAATATTTTGTAATGTCTAACATATCAAATGTTATAAGTTTTAACTCATTATTTAACATAAATTTAATACTAAATATTAGTTATTTTACCCAGTTACATAAACTGTAGCATAGAGGTTGTTTATATTGATACTAATAAAGATACAAATATTTTCCAAGTGATAGGTTTGAGAAATTTTCAATATTTTTTGGTGGTACTGATATATAAAAACATATAAAAAGGTTGATAACCACTGATTTTGATGAAACTTCGTGATTTTATGTAGCATTTTCTTTTACTTAACTCTTCTTAACTAAACTTTGATTATAAAAAAAAATCTTTTTTTTATTATTAGATATCATATATTTTCTGCTTCATAATATGAAGTATAGATTTTATTTTAAAATAATTCATAAAATAAACCTGAAAAATGAGTATTTCAAAATATATAAGAATATTGTTATAAGTCGCAACAACTAACTTAATAAATGATATATAGTTATTAAATTAATTATTAATAAATTGCCATTTATCTATAATACTTATATTTTCTTAAGGAATTTTCTTTATAATTGAAAAAAGTTGAATAAACAATGGATCTCTATACGTATTACAATTATACACAAATATTTATACAAAATATTTTAAAAATATTTTACCTGTGCCAATTTATGTTTTTTTTTTTTAATTATAAGCTTTTTAATCCTTTTACTAAGATTATAAATATTGAATTTGGATAATTTATTCTTTTTTTTAAACAACTTATATTTTTTGGTTAGACGATTCAATAATAGATTATCCTACCATACACTATTTATTATAGTTCTTACTACTTGCTGTATTCAATTTTAATTGCTCATACATATTTTGTATAAATTAAATCCCAATGTTATATTGACATGAATATTAATTGTTATACTTAAAATTTAATAAATTACTATAATCTACAATAAATGATGTTCTTTTCAAAATTTTTTTTTTAAATTATTTATTGTGATTTAATTTTATGGTGGTTTTAGAAGATAATAAGAAAAAAACTCATAAGAGGTTTTATAATTTTCTTTAAAAATTATTTACTTATTTAAATTATGACTGATATTGGTTCTATTTTGTGAAATGTTTTCTATTTATTTATTACAATAATTCTTTATCATATATACCTTAATACTGTAATCTAAGTAATTAAATATATATATATAATGTTAATAAATACTTTTCAGTCTGATAGTTTGATGATAGAACTTGAAAATTGTATTTTTATCCACCACCCAGGATGAAGTCATTTTATTCAGGTGTTTATTTGCTGTAAGTATCAAATATTTATTATTATCTAACTCAAATTATATCTCTTGATGAAAAAAAAATGTTTTATGTAATATATTCATTATGATTTTAATATTTAATTTAAAACCTTAAAATCAAAAAATAAAGGATTAAATTGATTTTAAATGGTTATTAAAATATACATTTTATTTATTGTCTCTATTGATAAATAAGTACTCAATTTTTTTGTTTTAATTAATTTTACTAGAAATTTGTTCATTATAATATTTAATTTTAAATAATTTAAATTGAAAAATGTTTCATCTTTTTGTTTTTATTTTTAAGCTGATAAAAAAAAACTTATTAGTCATCATTAAATGTCAATTACACAAAATACTTGGTAGGTACATTGAAGGGGCAATATAGTTTTGCCTTTTTTTATTATAAATACAATTAAAAATGTAGAATAAATATAATGGAATTGTAAAATATTTAAATGCATTTTTAAAAGGACTGTTTTTATTAAATAACATAAATCATATTAAATTTATAATCTTTTAAAAATTAATTTAAATATTTTTTGAAATGTTATTTTATGCCCACTGTATTAAATGTTAATTCGATGTTTTATTATTTATTGTACTGCTGTTTTCATTTGCATATAAAGTATGTTCTTTTAAAGTTTAAATAATAAACGTATAGTATATCATTCTTTTCATCATTATCATGTGCAATACTACCATTATTACTTATTTTAATAGTAGATAATGTTTGTTTTTAATTGCATGAATTTTGTTATGTTTAATAATATCATAATCTATAAAATAAAATATAAATTTAATAATAAATTGTAACTAAAAAATGTTCACAGGTTGTTTATTCCATTTACCACGGTATTCGTGTGAGAAATGTGGTAATTCATATAAATATAAAGCAAACCTCCGTAGACATGAAATATATGAATGTGGTATTGAGAAAATGTTCATTTGTACAATTTGTGAACGTAGATTTCACCAAAAGTCTAATTTAAATAGGCACTATAGTTTATTACACAACTGATAAGTTTGGTTTAACAAATATAATTAATTATTAAACAAATATAAAAATGTATATTTATATGTTTATTACTATTGCAGTAATTATGTTTATATATATATATATATTGTATTATTTATTTCTCATCTTATTTTAATTAATAAAGTACAATTGGTATCTGTTTTATCAACATTCCTCATCCTTTTTTAATTCATATGTCCCATATTGTTAACAAATGCAATCCATTTTCACATAACAGATTAAAAATTATGAAATAAGTTTGATAATGAAAAATTAGAAATAATAGTAAATACAATTTTAATCGATTACACAATAAATGTAATAATAATATTAGTAATTTTAAAACTTACTATGAATCTTGTGATTGTTTTTTATGTCAATGATGAATGGTGTTAAAAGAAAATTAATATTATGTACTTTTAACGAGGGACACTAGGTCCATAACATATCATTGTTACTACCTAAACTGATATATATCCTATATTAATTTACAAAAAATTATTTATTTTTAATAAGCAATAATATTTAGAATTTTTCTTTGATAAAAACTATGTCAAATAAATAATTTCTACTATTTCCCACAATTTTTCCTCTCTGTTTATTGTGTACCAATTGAGAAACACTGTAATATATAAATAAAAATCAATTTTTATAGTTTAATATTATAATTGTTTAACCATGTAATGCAAAGAACAAAAAATGGAAAAAGTTATATGCAGATATAACTTGGTTATTTAATTGTGTCAGTATAATCAAATTTTTTTAATTATCGTTTTAAATTCTGCTGAACAAATTAAAACTCAATTCAATGCATTTATTGAAGATTCTATAGAAGCTTACATTGTAGAATATAGAGTGAATTAATAATTTTATTTTATAGATTCAATAATTTCATCATATTTGAGATCTCTTATAAATGTTATGTGTAAGTAATAATAGTTCATAAATGTTACTAAATGTTGCTACCTAAGTATTTATTTTGTTCCTTCTGTACAAATTGTAGTATTAAATAATGTATTTTTTTATTAATTGAATTAATTTATTCTTAAATGTTTTTCTAATTACTTTATTCTTGTGTTATTTTGTTTACCTATTATTAAATAAAATCAAAGTAATTTGTGTTTTTAATTCATTGTTATTATTTACTTATTTTATTTTAAACAGGCAAAGCAGCTAAAAAATATGTGGTAAACAAAAAAATGTATAAATAAACTTTGATTTAATATAAAATTAATTATAGCTTATTATTAAGTATGAGATAAAAACATAAATTAATTATATTTCTAATTTATATATACATAGAATAATTTAATTTAATTGAAAGAAAAAAAAAATATTAATATAATTATTAATAAGTCACATAAACTTGATTAAAGGAGGCATTTTTTTTTTCATTTATTGTAGGTTGAAGTGGTACATACAGTTATTAACGCCTTAGATTTATGTCCAATAGCTAAGGTTTTTTCAAAGTATTAATTGTAATAAAAAAGACTAATAAGATGAATGTGCTTTGTGTTCAAAATTCAACTTATGACAAATTAACCTTAAGGATTGTTGGCTACTTAAACCCTTACGACATATATTAATAATAAAATCAATTAATAAACCAACATTGTGGACAATTTTTTATAATAAACATGGTGGTCAATTGTCAAATCATACATACAGATTAAAATTAATGTTTAGGTTTTAATATGGTTAACACAAGCTAACTCAACATTATTCAAAATAAATAAATATTATTTAGTATAGAAGCTAATTTTTGAAAAAATTATTTTATATTTAGAAATATCCAAATATAAAATATTGGTACCTATAGTATCAGTTATTAACACTATTGACAACATAATATATGGTATTATAGTTATAAACCAAAATATTTTAATATCTAAAACGTACATTGTATATTATACTATACAGGCTTTATAGTATATTTATTATACAACTGATAATTAATTAAAATGTTATATTAACAAAAATGGTATGATAAATAAAAGGGTATTTATTTTATTTTGATTTATCCAAAGTCTATTTTTCAATTTTAAATT